GCAGAACGCCTCTGAGTGCAACACGCTGCCACGTTGCTCTCCACTGCTCAGCAGAGGGCAACACAGCTGACCCTGCTGCTGGGAGACCCGGGCCCAGTGTGTGTCATTCTGTGGGATCTGTATTGCTGGGATGGACAGAGCAAGGGTGGGAGATGCTGCAAGACTCGAACTGTGCCTTGTGAGTGAAAAGCCACTTGAAGTCAGAAGAATCATCCCCACGTGGCGCTGTGTTTGCAAACAAGGTTTTCAGATAGCCCTGTGAGCACTACTGGGCTGCAATAACAGCCAGGCCATGGTCGTGGTGTGAAGATTACCTCTGTGTCTTAGCAGCAGCGATACAGAACTAGGCCTCCTTCCACCAACAGTGCTCAGAAATGTCTCTTTTATCTTCCTATTTGGGAACTTGAACTGCAATGGAGTTTGACAGGATTATTTTATTTACCCCATTTCCTACAGCAGAGCTATTTCTGGCTGGCTATTGCTGCTGCTATTAAGCCGCTCTCATTTTGCTTCCCATCCAACCTGCTTTGCTGCGGGAGCTCAAGGGAAGACAGCAATAGCAATAACCCACAAGCTGGAGTTTACATTGCATCTTGATTGCAAGAGACACATAAAATGTGCAAGTGAAAGCTCAATGTGTTTCATGCAGTCAGTGATCTTTTAGTGCTGCCAGAAAAGACGCAACGTGGAGCCCCATCACGGGGGACAGAAAGCACTGGTGCAGGAGCACTGTGAACCCTTCCCACTTCCCACTGTCCTTCCAGCCTAATGCCACAGCACTCGGGAGCCTGGAGGATATCCAAACTGTCACCCCAAACAGAAAAAAGGAGATGCTCATCTACTACCTAGAGCATTCCCTCACATAGCAAGATATGATTGTAATTAATAGTGTGCGACCCAGGCCTGGATGACTGAAATCTCACTTTCTAGGAATGATTTCCTGGTGACATTGGGAAGTGACCAGTGCTGCCTCTGATGGTGCAATCTGAGACAGATAAATTAATCTGTGAAGCTCAGAAACCAATTTTATTTGTGAACGTTTCCCCACACAAGTTGCCTTGCAAGATGGTTGCCATATCTGGGAGCTGGCTGTCACCAGCATCTCCATGCTGCTCTAATTCATGCAACCATTGTAAGGCACGCTTAAATATACTTACAATGGCAGAGGTAACATCTGTTGGACACACCTGAATGCAGCTTTTCACAATTACTTATTCTGACAAATCAGGTCTCTGTCTAAGATCCCCTCAAGGTGTTTGGAACCTGTTGCCCTGGGGACAGCAGAGCTCATGCTGGTATGTAAGGATGGGTCCAAGCTCTACCATAGATGTGACCCATGCCATCACTGCAGTTGTATAAATCCAGTCTTATAGTTCAGTATGGTCCTGGTAATGACTGCATCAATGGCTATTCCTTTACATGCAAAGCATTGGCAAAGTAATCCCTCAGTAGCCACATGCACATTTGTCCCAGCTTCCCCTGCAGAAGCCCTGGGACAAATCTCGGGGATGGGGAAGTGAGGAAGGAGGAGCCTGCCTGAGGGCAGTTCCCAACCCTTCTCACCCCTGCTGTATGGCAACGGTGCCCACAGATCAGAAAGTCCAGACAGATGCTGAAACTTTGAAATGTTTGGAACAGATTGTTGAGCACAGTGAGTGCCAATCAGTGAGCTCCTGTCTGTCGGATGGCTGCTGGTAGTACTGCTGATCCTCTGCAGGTGCATCAAACAGGGCAGGGATTGCCAGGAGCTTGGGAAGAACCACCCTGAAAGTTACCCTACCTCCTAGTCTCCCTCCTAGGAACATCCCAGACAGATGCTCAAAACAACGCCACAACTTCACATTTTCAGCCAATAACAGAAAGGGGGGGGATTGCAAAGCCTTCAGAAAGCAAGTCAAGTTCAAAGCAGAGGGGAGTTTGTATGGAAGCATGTTAGTGTATAATCAATGAATATTAAGATGTTATAATTACAAAATAAACAAGAGAGTTAGGCAAAGCAGATTATAATAATAAAAAGAAAATAGACAGAAAGCTCACCTGTATCCTAGGCTCGCTTATGAAACTCCAGTGGAGTGGATCTCCAGAAGAGATCCTTCCCCAGTAGCCAGCTTTTAAAAGGGTCTGGGAGAGATGGAACCAGGCTCCACCCCTTCCAGCAGCACAGGTGAATTGCCTTCACCTGTCTCCTGTGGCTGACTCCTTGCTTGCCTCAGGTGATCAGAGGTTCAGGCCGTGATTCAGCAGTTCCCATACAGTTAACTGCTGCTGAAAGTGGATAGCTGGATACTGGAGATCCTGCCATAGCCAATAGTGGATTGCTCAGGCACAGGCTACACCAGATTGGAGCAGCAGAAACACAGCAATTCTTGGTAGCATAGGACAGAGTCCTGCTGAAACCCTCCTGGGCCATCTGCCTGCATGGCTGGTGGAACAATCCCAATCCAGCACGAGCAGTGGAAACAAGGATGGCTTTTGAAAGTGTGCCTTGTCCTTAGGAAACACATACAGCAGCCAAAATGAAGCAGAGCTCCTAGCACTGACACCAACAGAGCCACCAACCCCTTGGCTTAGAGAGTAAGTGGATGCCAAGCACTTTCCGCCACACAGAAACAATCTCATCATCTGCCAATATGCAGAAGATTTTCTGAGGAGGGAGATTCCTTGGAATTCTCCACAAAATTTTGATCAGACTCAGTGATGACACAAATGTCAGCAAACACGGGTCAGGTTGGCTGTGAATTTTCTCACCACTCGTATCTGGAAGACCAGGAGCACTGTTCCATCAGCTGCTTTGGAAGCCTGTAAGGACTCCATTGCCCTGCATACAAGGCAGAGGAGCTAGCAGCTCTGGGCTAGTCTGGACTCAGATCTTCCAGAAACCTGCAACTTGAGCTTTTTACTGTGCCCTTCTGAACTCAAGCAAATTCAGTTCCCTGAGGGCTTGTGCAAGTGGAACACAAAAGCACATCATGAGCTATGTACCACTCACACGCTCTTGCTGTGCCTGGTGCCAGACTGTGCTGCAGATGGCCCAGAACTGTGGGGCTCTGCCCACTCCAGATGAAGCACCAGCACCACACAGCCCCCGGGCTGCCTGCACCTTGCTGTAAGTGCTGCTTCACTAATGAGGCTCCAGGATCTCACCCATGGGCACTGGCATGGAGGGCATATCGCCAGATGGCTGTGATCCATAACAGCAGAGCTTGACACAGGATCAGGACGACATGGACTAAAAATCAAACATGAGCTAACACTCCCCCGAATTCTGTCCTTGAGCAATGCTTCTTAACAACGTTCAGGATAGGGAAGTCCAGCTGTCAGCCCTTCTCCCCTCACCCCATCACTCTGGAAAACAGAACCTGCAGCTTGGAGTTGGAAGAGCAGATACAGGGGAACACAGCACAGCCTGGAGTGGTCCTTGTGACCCTGAGGTCAGGCTTGTGGATAAGTTTGCAGCCCCTGCCCTTCTGCCTGAACTTGCCGTGGAACTGAGAACCCCCAGACCTGCCTCTGCTGGCTCCAACCTGCTGGCTGCTTTCCTGCAGATGCATCACTTGTATGATGCTGCCACATGCACAACACAAAGCAACTCTGGCATACGTAAGGGAAGAGGACAGTGACACAGAAATGCTGTTTGCATACTGATCCCAACCCTGAGCTCCCCCAGCCTGCTGAGAAACGTGGAACACTCTCTGCTCATTCTGATGGCTGCAGACATCCCAGATCTGGTGTTCCTGGGAGCAGAGGAAGACCTGACACCCCTCCAGAGCACAGCCTGGATACTGCCTTATGAATGGGAAATTCAGGGTCACAGTCAAAGTTCAGGAGGTCAAGATTAAAAAATTAAGCCCTGCTGCATATTTGCAGACTCACGTTGACGGTTCTCTGAGTTTGTTATTGTTGCTGTTCTGCTTTTTGCTTTTTTTTTTTGTAACAGAGACAGGAGAGATGTACAAGGCACAACAACAGTGGGTGGAGGGAAGTGCAGAATCTCAGTCAACCATGACTCAGGAGAAGAAACTGCCACCCACCGAAGGCGCAGGGCAGAGCTGCATGGCACTGGGCAGCAGTGCATTGACTCAGGAGTCACCCACACCATCCCCGGCTTCCTGCAGCCACAAACACTCCCCAGGGTCTGCATGCCATGCAGGTCTGTCAGCTCACTGAGCACACCCCAGGTGCCAGGAATGCAGCCCTGGGTGTATCTGCAGCCAGCTCAGGGAACTCCCTCTGCACAGTGCTCTGTGGAGATGCAGTGTAAATGGCCACAATGTGAGGGCTGCCATCAGGGCAGAGACCAGAGCTGTGAGCACTGTCATTTCTCTCCAAACAGGTGTGATGGTAACAAGCTGAGATCACTTTGGTGGGACTGTGGCCATTGAGCGGGGATGCTGGTGCCTGATACTCCAAAATACAGCTCATCTGTTGCTATCAGTGCTACAACACATTAGTTCTTCACTCCCTTTCTCTCACCTTCATGGTGGATTTCATGGCAGAAATGTCCTCTATAAACCAGTACAGTAGCTACATGAAGATGAGGCTTGAAATGTATTTCTCTGAGTGACACATGCACACCCTGTTACACACCGAGCTGCCGCCTGACAGTTCTTCAACAGGCAGCCAGCATGACTTTAATGCAGTAATTGAGCTGCCCGCCCAAGTGCCAGGCTTCAGAGTTTGTAAAGAAATTCTAGGGCTATCTAATCCCAGATCATATGCTGCAGCCAAAACCCAAAAGCAGAAGTGAGGCAATGAGCCAAAACGAGGGGCATATGAGAAAAAGGCATGAAATGAACAAGGGGAGGCTGAATTTGCTACCAGCATAAAAATCCCTCCGTCACGTTATACTCACCACCCTGTAATTCAGTAGCACGAAGCACTACCCATATCCTCTTCTGCACAGACAGCAAATGGCCACCTTGTCCTAAAAACCACTTTGGATTGGAAACCCATTCCCAGCATGTACTCAGCAGCACTGCTCACTGCCTGGACGTCCTTACCTTCTTGCAGAGAACCATCTGGTGATCAAAGAGGAAGAAAACACGCTGCTGGTTCCGTCCGTAGGGCTGGTAAATCCAGGACATCTCTCCCGTGTAGATCAGCTCTGAGCTGCGGTCCAAGATATCGTCTCCCTGGAGGGCACAGAGAATGAGGCCATGTGAACCACTGCTCCCAGCAGGACATGCTTCTCTTTGCAGGATGCAGAGAAACAATAATTAAATAAGATTTTGGTCTTTCTGCGGCTCTCAAGGCTGCCATGCCTGACTTCAGGCCAAGAACTGGAGGTGGGGGATCATCCTGGAGGAAAGGAAATTCTACAATTCTGTGATTCTGTGAAATCAAATAAGTGTGGACAATCAACGCGTGGTCATTGTGGCTCAGAGTGCAGTGAGCAAAGTAACAGCAGAATGGGAACTCCAGGCAGCCCCATTTCCACACCGCACCCCCGGACCCAGCTCTCACCACAGTGCCCATCCCATGGGCACCCCCAGTAAAACCCCAAGCTGGGGTCCACCAGCTGGACTCCAACCTCCCCTGGGCTCCACAGCCATCTTCACAAGGATCTCTCATTGGAAAAGCATCCCAACACAATTGAGATGCCCCTTCAAGTCCCTTCAAGATGCCAGCCCAGCTCCTTGCATCATCTACCCCAGAGCTACCAACACTCCCCCGCATGCTACCACCCCCATCCCCACGCTTTGAGGTGATGACCACCCCCTCCTACCACCCCAGCATTCTCGTTAAGAGTTCCCCAGCCCCAAAACCCAGTCAGGCCAGCCAGCTGCCAGCATTCCCTCACCCTGCCTCAGCCTGTGGCTAACACTTGTTTTCCTCTCCCGTTTTTTTTTAAGGATTCATGAGCAGATGGTCTTGAAAACACAGCACATTCTCTCCCACTCTCTGAGAGAACAAATGCAGTCACCCTCCACTAATTAGGATGAGCTGGACTTTTTAAAAAGTTAATTAAAATCTATTTATTAAAAATGGGTGAATTCACCACCACCTGCCCCGTGGGCATCTCAGTGCCTCGCTCCAAATGCCACAGAAGGGAGCAGGATGACTTCAACACAAAGGTAAGGAGCGGGATGGGGGAGAAAGTGGGAGAGGATCGTTCCTTTTTTTTTTTTTTTTTTGGCTCTGAAATCGGTGCAGTTCTGGCTCTGATGCCAAACTAGAGCCAATACTATGACAAGAGCATCCCAAAATCTCAGCAAGCAGATTGTAAGGGCTCTGGGGGCACCCAGGCACACGCAATTTTCTGGTCCCACTTACAGCGAGGGTGCCAGAATAACCAGAAGCCCTCCCCAGCCCTCACATTTCAGTGAGGATTTTGGGCTGCAGGTAAACGTGTAATGAACCTCCCAGCATTGACTGGAAGTGACTGAGTCCCTGGGACCTGTGACAACAGCTTCAGTAAGTCGCTGAGGTATCATGCAGCAGCAGGGACTTTCGGGTGGTCCCAGTGAGGTGCTCATCCCCCTCTCCATCTTGCTCTGTGGCTGGCTGGTTCAGGGCCCCATCGGGGCAGCCCGCCCAGCATATGGAGTCCTTCAGGGTGACCCTAGCAGTGGGACCTCCTGGGTAAGCAGCAAGACCCAGGGATGTGCCAGTTCTTCCTCTGAAGGAAATGCACGGGCTTCAGAAAGTGTGGGCTTCTCTGGTTAAATGGGAGCTTATCTGAAAGATTCAAAAAGGATAGGAGCTTTTCTGAGAGGGGGCAAGCCTAGGAGAGGCTCTCTGCTAAAAATAGAAGAGCAGCTTTGTCTTTTACTCCTGTGGTAGCATCTCAAGCCTGAGGACACACAGAGGGCTCTGTAAACACTTCTACTTGATTAGCTAGATCCAAACTGTGTAGTCCCTGCAAGCAATATTAAACAAAAAAAAATCAGATCCGAAATGATAGGATTTGTATTGCATTTTCTATGCTGTGAAAATAATTTTCACATACAGTCTACAGGCTGCAAGGGGATAATTTCCAGTGCTGGGTTAGCACATTTGGAAATGTCATAGTTCAGACAGTTTGGGACCAGCCCTACAGCCCTGAGCAGCAGCCCCAGCCAGTAATAAAAAGCCTCAGGCCAGCCTGGTTGGAACTGAGCATCCAGCTGCAAACAGAGGGCAGGAAAGGAAGAGGGGTCCTGTTCTGCATGCAGTCATCAGCACTCCTGCATGTGCTGATGGGGAGCAGATGCGGGCTGGATGCACGCCCCATCCTCTGTTGAGCGCTGCAGAGTGATGCCTATGTCCTGGGGCTCATCCTGCCTCCGAGCAGAGGTCAGTGCTCCTGCTGCTATGGGAAGGCAGCAATCCCCAGCTCCCCAGCTGTGCTATAGAGACCACTCTGAGACAGGTAACCACTGTGCTATAGGCAATCACCCTGCAACAAGGAGCTAGGAGGAACCAAAGGGTTTTACCGATGTCACATAAGCAATGCTGCTGGATGAATGCTCCTCACTGTTACTGCCGGGCACTAAATCCCCTCTCCTAGTTAACATTCAGTGAGCAGTGCTCTCTTCTGCCTGACACTGCTGTTCTTTAATTAGAGATTGACAGGCTGATTAGCACTCTGGGCTACAGAAAGATCAGAAAAAAGGAAAGCGAGAGAAATGTTGTCTTTTTCATCAGGCTCCTTTTTTGATACCTTCTGTTGCTGGGAAAAAAAAAAAATAAAGGAGGAAAAGAAAAAAGCAGAAGGATCTGTTTCAGTCCCTGTTGTGATTTTTCCCTGGGAGGATTTCTCATCAGGCTGTCCTCACTTTGAAAATAGCATGTTGGTTGCATGCATCTTTTTTTTTTCCGTGTCATTCTTGGATTCAATAACATAATATTAGGCCGGAGCCAACTATTATGTATTACGTAATTAAGGGCACTGAGTCTTGATTTAAAGCACCAGTAAATATTGAGAATGAGAAGAGATTTAAAAGGACAGTTTTCATTATATTTCGCAATTACACATCCTTTACCCTTCGTGTAAATTTAATACTCAAGCAATCTGCCAAAGTGGCAACCCACGGGAATCTCGGGTAGCAATATCTAGAAATCTGCATAAACCAAAGTAATCTGCTTAAATAGCCGGCTCAGGCTAATCGAGGCCGGGAGCAAGGCTCTGCTCTGCACCAAACACCCCACTGCTGCCTTGGGACGGCTGATCCCTCCCAGGGATGGCAGCCACAGGAAGCAGACTGGCCACAGCTTCCTGCTCCAAGCAGAGCCGGGCTGATGGGAGCAGCACCACAGTTTGCCAAGGCACACATCTGCTTCCCATCAGCACGGCAGCTGCGGCGGGCGCTCAGTGAGCAAGGGTGCACTCACGGCTGCAGCGGGCACTGCAAACGCAGCCCAAGCAAATGGCAAGGTCGTAAATCACTGAATGGTTGGGTTGGAAGGAACCTCAAAGTGCATCCAGTCCCAACCCCTGCTGTGGGCTGGCTGCCCCCACCAGCTCAGGCTGCCAGGTCCCATCCAATGTGGCCTTGGGCACCTCCAAGCCTGGGACACCCAGCCTTGGACAGCACTGCCACGACTTCACTGCCTCCTGAGTAAAGAATTTCCTCCTCACATCTAGCTTGCATCTCCCCTCTTAGTTTTAAACCATTCCCCTTTGTCTTGCCATGGTCTGACAATGTAAAACATAACTATCCACCTTTTCTTTAAGCTCCCTCTGAAGCAGCCCCACACCATGCCATCGCCACAGCAGCTCTGCAGCACATGGTGGGCTGGCACAGGCTGGAGGAGGGCAGCGTGCTCTCTGCAGGCCGTGCGGTCCCAAGCAGAGCAGACAGAGGAAGGCAGTGCCATGCCACTCCTGCCACCTCCATCCTGCTTCTTAGGCACCTGTATAAGCAGCACTGCCCAAACTGGGGCTGCAAGGATGTAGAAAAAATGATGGGCTTTGAGGAACTCTTCTCTTTGGAGTGCCATTGTATACACATTGCTGGCTAACCTTTGACAGCTGTAGCCCAGGACAGGCTCAGTCTGGCACATTTCCTCACCAACTCAGAGCAGACCTGGCACGCTGCTCCGAGCCCAGTGCAGCTAAAATGCATGCCAGCACTGCCTGCTGCCTTCACACATCCCTGCTCTGACCTGAGGGCACTGCACCACCAGGGAGGGGATGGCACCAAGTGAAGGGAAATAGAGGCATCAGGAAGCACTTCATATCCACAAAGCTCTCGGGCATGAAAGGTCTCAGCAGGAGGTGGTAGAAGCGCCATATTCCACACCATTAACCAAAAGAACAAAAGGCCCTAGAGTATTCCATGTAGGTAGGGCAGCACCTCTCTAAGTTGGTCAATGCATTGGAAATCCAAAACGAAAAAGTGAGTCACACAAGGCAACAGTCCAATGCAGATTTGCTGGTCAAGATCACGCTCCTACAAATTACACAGGAACACATTTCAAAGTGACTGGGGATTGCTTCTAATTTACAACAGTGAGTGAGATCAGAATCTTCCCTCCTGATTTTGCTCAGTCACTCCATGTACAAAGCCAAGAGTGATTCCTCAGGCTTGGCGCCCTGGTGCTGCAGCACCCACCGACTGCCCCGCAGTAGGGCTGCCCTTCTCAGTGCCATTTGCAATGCACATCAGGAGCCCCCACTTAAGTGGCAGTCTGAAAACAAGCCCTGCCTTTGGCAGCTGAAGAAATTCCACAGTTTTCTATTGCTGACCCTGAAATTCACCTTCATAGGGCCATGCAGAACATCTTAAGCGATTAAAAATGATTCCTGAAACACACAGGCACAACTCCAGGGGATGCAATAAAACCCTTCCTGCTCAGATGAGCCAGGACATACCCCCGGCTTTTTCTATTTGCTTTGGGATCAACAATACGTATGCAATCCCAACAACGGTCTCTCCTTGTGAGAACAGGAGTGCAAACACTTCGTAAACAAAAACGGTTTAAGTATCTGCTCACTAAACATTTGCTTGGTTCAGATTTTTTCTTCTCTTTTAAAACTCTTTTTCCAACATCTTATCACAAAAGCCGGGAAGATTCAGAAATTAAAAAGCTATTTTGAATCAGAGCATCAACACTGTTAGAACAGAGACGTTAAGGAAAAATAGACACATTTTTTCCAAAGGAGGTAATTCAGCATTCAAACCACTTCACTCTTGGTTGCTGCTGGAATAATTCACTGAGTGCAAAATACGGTAGTGATTAGGGATTATCTCTGTCTTGTGCATTGGATACATTTCTGGTGGGGGAGAGAAAATAAATGCTGTCCTTTATTCTCCTTGCTCCTACTTTGTACCTGCGGTTGTTCCTACTTCTTTGTACTCGGGGTTTGGTTTCCTTTCTTTTGTCCCAAGCAAGACTCAGCTGTCCCCAGATCTACGCTCCACTGCTCGCTTGCACTGCCGCGCCAGCTGGAGAGATCAGGAAGCCACTGGGACACACAAGGGGATGGGAAGGGAGTGCTTCTGAGTACTGAGGGTAATTAGAGGAGGATTAGGGTCACGGGAAGATGGAAGGGTAACCGCTGTGGGTTCCTGCCTCTGTTTCAGTGAGAGTTTAACTGGGTAAGCACTTCCAGAAGCTCAAAGTTGACATCGGGTCACCCTCTCTCAGCTGGCTGTTCTCCTCCAAAGAACTGGGAGTCACATTCTGCTCTCCAATCCAGATAAGCAGTGCACACTCCCCGTGGACTGGAAGAGCTTGGGGAGATATACCAGGAAAGCCCTCTCCCAATCCCTGACAGCCCACCTGTATGGGAAGAGGGCTGGAAGCCCTGCAAGCTGGCAAGGAAATCCAGCTCTGATGGCCTGGGAGAGGCTGAGATCAGTGCATGGGGTTTTGGAGGTCAGCAGCCCAGGAATGCTGTGCATACAGAGCAACTGTACAGATCAAGAACACATCTAAGCACTTGGCACTGCTTTTGATTTCTCCTACTCTCTTCCTGAATTATGCTATAGTTCACTTCTGTGTATTTTGGGTTTGTTTGTGTGCATCCTCTTGGCCATTATGTGGGCATTTATGCAGTGGGGTCTGATGGTTCAGAGGTTACTTCAGAGGAAAGAATCAAGCAAAGTCCTCTGCAGCATTTAGATCTCATCCTCTAGTGTTCCCATCCAAAACACAGTATAAGAATGGCAAGAATGGTTGTTTCTCTTTGAACGAAGGCAGTAGCTTTATTCCTGCTGGATCTCCGAGTGGGCAACAGGACAGGCTGAGGGAGTTGGGCTTGTTCAGCCTGGAGAAGAGAAGGCTGCGGGGTGACCTCATTGCAGCCTATCAATACCTGAAGGGAACCTATACCCAGGAGGGGAGTAAACTCTTCAAAAGGGCTGACAATAGCAGGACTAGGGGAAATGGATCCAAGTTGAAGGAGGAAAGATTTAGGTTGGATGTTAGGGGGAAGTTCTTTACAAGGAGAGTGGTTAGGCCCTGGAACGGGCTGCCCAGGGAGGTTGTGGATGCCCCGTCCTTGGACGTGTTTAAGGCCAGGTTGGACGGGGTCCTGGGCAACCTGATCTGAATGTGTGTGTTTGGTGGCCCTGCTAGGCAGGGGGGTTTGGAACTACATGATCCTTGAGGTCCCTTCCAACCCGGGTGATTCTGTGATTCTGTGAACAGCAGTTCTGTTGTATTAGGAGAAGCTGAAGGATGGTGCTGCAACATTGTGCTTAAAATCTGGAAAAGCAGTCAAAAAGCCCTTGGAAAAATGATTTGGCAAGATCCTGAGAATGAGGACAGAGATAAAGAATAGGTATGGCTAAGTAGGAGTGAATTATCAAGGATATAGCTAAATAAAAATGAATTATCAACTGAGCCAATGGAAGAGAAGAAACTGCTGTTTCACAGATCCTATGTGGAGGTCACCTTGGCTTTCCACTTGCATATGAATATTCACTGACTTGGAATTGATCCATCCTTAATCTAGATTTATTTACAGTGAGGGTTGTGGCATTTCTTACAAACGACACACTTCAGCTCATCGCACGGAATATACTGCAGGCTGAAGATACATCTGATGGTCCTGTGCCTCCGCGAGAGCAATTTCTTAATGCTGAAAATGAGCCTGGGTGTCAGTATCAGGGAACTTTCTGCACAGCAAACAACAATAAAACAATCAAGCAAATCATCTGTATTCTCTGCTCTCACCGCCTGTCAAAACGTAAGAACCAGCTATGATTGCTGCACTTACATGCTTTATCAAGAGATCCAAGGCTGAATCTAACCTTTATTATACCAACAAAACTAATTCAGTCAAGGAAGATACACAATCAGAAGGAGAAATGCATCTGCATTTCTCTTTCTCTATTCCCTGCCTTCCTAGATCATTTCCCAACAATGTGACTTCCCCATATGCTGTAACTGACAGTGTGATCCCAGTGATTTGAATGTAAAGTTATTCCAAACCTTTGTGACTGTAGGAAAGAAAGAAGACCATTCTATCACTTGCTGAATACACGGATCAATGATTTAAAACAGAGGTGATTTACAAACAAGCTCATCTTTGCTCTGCTTAGAAATCCAACTCACAGGTTACATTTATACAAGGATTCAAAAAATCCAAGGATGAGGAAAAAAAGAACAAATGCTTTGTTTGGATTTGCCTTTTCAAGCACATGGCAGAATGTAGCAGAGCTAGTGAGGAATCCCTCTGCTGACTGCCTTGCTCGTACTTTGCAGCTTGTTCATTATACTGCAACTACTCATTGACTTGGCTCAGAAATATCTTTAAGAGGATACTCATTTTAAACGTGCAGACAGCATCTATAACTTCAGCTTAATGTCTTGGCTTCTAATCATAAGATCAGCTTTTGCCATTTTTTTTTAACTGTCACAGCTTCTAGGCCTTTTTGATACTGCTTTCCCTACTTCTTCCCCAGCCACAAAGTACAGAGTCAGAACGCACTGAGTTTGATCCTAATCTTTCTTACTGCCAGGACAACAGCACTTCAGTCACAGAATCACTCCGGATTTGTGTCTATGAAATAGGAACTGGACCCAAGATTTTCTTCAAAATACCATTAATGTTTTAAATCTTAAGTCCCATCTCCAAAGCATGCATATACATTTCCTCTGCCCCCAGGTTAATCCCAGTTCTGAAGTCCTCTCCAACGCACACCCAGATCAGGCTGCATGAAATGAGCTGTGTGGCATAGGATAATTCCAGCAGCTGCAGGAACGGCCCCCATCTGGGTTTATAGCCCCTAACAAGGTTCCATACCTCCCAGTCCAGAACGGACGCCTGCCACTGAGCTATCTTGTCAATGTTCTCCAGTCTCCGCTTCCGCTCATTGATCTGCAGAGTCACGTTCCTCATGACGGCGAGGGCAGCAGCCACATACCTGTAGTCACTGTGGAACACAGAAGAGAAGCCCGTGAAATGGAGCTCGATGTGCGGTGGAAGCATCTAGCAGTCTTACTGTCGGCTGCATAACTCACCACCATCCTTCTAGCAAGAAATGGAGGTAGGATTTGCCACTCGTTACTACAGTGCTGTGTTTTTGCATTGGCAACATCTTTCTGGATCACTGAAAAAGGGCAGCTGGGTTGCAAACAAAGCAGCGTGAGAGGAGACATGAAGGCAGACGCTTCCCAATGGCTTGCATCTGGAAGCCCACTGAGAGAAACCTGGCCTCTCCCAACTCAATCTGCAGCAGCTGTGGATGTCATTCTTTAAAGTCTTAAGGTGCTCACTAAAGAGCATCTTAAGAGAAAGTCTGACCATTTTGATCAGCTCTGTCCTTGGGCTTGGATTTTTATGTTTTTAGGATGAACATTTGAAAATATGCTTCGCTCAGACAAATTGGAGCCCCTTCTAGGCCAGAAGGTAACTCCAAGAGAGCCACAGAGCACTATCCAGTGGCATTCGCTCACACTGCTGGCTTCAGGTGAGCAAATCAAAACCATTCTCTCTTTTTCCTGGACGTGCCTGTGAGCGTAATAACACAGAGTGCAAATAGCTTCCCACCAGGGCCAGCAAAGATGATGATCAGTCTTTTCAAAAAGTGATGCTGAAATCAATGCTATTGATTTCCTCCCTGTGCCTTCTTTTCCACTCCAGGGAACCTTAATGTTCATTTCAATCGGAAAGACAGACAAGGCCAGCTGCCGTAACGCCACCATCATTTATTATTAACTTAAGGGCTGATATTGACTGCTGACTAATGAGAAAAACTGTGATCTTAGGCAGCTGTGAGGGGAATGGCTTTATTGATTATTGCTAAAGAATTGCACTGGTGACAGCTAAAATAGGGGTGAGTGCTGTGAATTAGAGAAAAGCTTTAGCTTCATTTCCTTATTTGATCCAAACAGGATAAATACTAAGAAACAAGCACAGTACACCATACAGCGGAATATTATCTGCTATTTTGCCACCCTTTTCTGGATGAAATCTTGAGAACAATTTTTATTCAATTCTTATGTTGAAATTCCAGCTGAGGTTAAAAAAATCCTACAAAATCCCAAGCATCAGGGCTGGTCCTTCAGCAAAGTGAAGGAGGATAGAGGATGGGCTGCCTGACATACACATCCCAGTGCACAACAAAGGATCTGTTGCACCTTCCCTTCAGTGGCCATCTCTAAGAAGCAAAAGCCTGTCTGCACAAGGGAGAAACCAAGCTATGCCATTGAGACACGCTACTCCTGTCTTCAAAACATCCATGAGCTCTTGCAGGAAAAAAGGTCGGTCACTATGGACAGAAAGGCATTGTAGCGATAGGGAAAGGTGCAGGGTATGGAGCAAGTCATTAATGATCTCTGTACAGAAAAGAGAGGTTGGTTTTAGTGCACCCATTTAGCAGAGTGTCCATCACATACTGTGCTTACACTCTCTTAATCCCAGCTCCAATCTGCAGCCAGAGCACTCAGGACACCAGCAAGCTGCACTTAGGATCTTCATACATTTACTTCATATTAAGCTGGTGCAAACCTTTAGGAGGTGAACAGATGTGGCTTTGTGAAAAATTCAAATGAACCAGGCTCGAAACAATGAGCAATTGAAGGGAGCCAGGCTTTGAAAACACCCCCATGCCTGCCTCTGTGCCCAGTGGCCATTGCCAATCAAGCTGGGTTTTATCTTGGTTATGCTAATTCACTAATTCTAATGTTCTATTTGAGGAGAAAACTCCATGCATGTTTTTTCACTCAGTAGTGAAGAAAGACTCATGCCTGAACTTTTTGGGCTCCTAGCCCACATCTGTGGCAGAGCTGGCAAAACTTAGAAGAAAAAATAACAGAAGCAAAGCATTTGGACAGTGAATTAATAATAGGGCAGCACTGACTATAACATAAGGAAAATAAATAGTTTGTTGATTACTTTGGGAATGCAGTGACCTCTTTCCAGGGGTCAACCAGGGTGCAATTCCAAACTCATGCTATTTCAGGGAGAGTGTTCAGGCTGCTGATCACTGCACTGCTGCCCTGAGCTGGCACAGGGTGCTCTACAAGCACGGTATTAGTGAATAAGAGGCAGCAGAGAAAAAGAATGAAATCTCCCATTCTCATATGAACCTAAGATTTGTTTTCATAGGGACTCCCAGTCCTTTCTGGGTTTTGCCTTACTGTGTAAATTGCTCAACGGCATAAGGGAGGTCTGGGACATGAGCTGGGCTGCCAGGAGGACTGGTTGCTCCCAGGCTGTTTGAATGCTTGAATCAGAGGAGTGAGACTACAAGGGAGTGTGGGGTAACCCACCGTATTTCTGTGTCTTAAAGCCATCTGCTGTGAGTGGGGCATGCCCACAGTAACCAGAGCACAGCATGGGGCTGATACAGGGCCCTCGGTCTGAAGGAACCAACAGTTGCTTAACCACAGGGAAGGTCCGAGTCTCACAGAAAGTGACTGTAGCCAATAGCTTAGCAACATGCTGATTCTAAAACATCCCAAAGGAACGTACTTAAAGTAGTTCACCCCTGTGTAACCTCCCTGTCCACATCCTCTTTGGTTTCAACACCGAACAACTCAGAGAGGGTCATTTTAAACACAGATCTCTCCTCTCTGGGGCTGCTTATGTGAAGCCACACAGTGGGGCTGCTCTGCACTGTGAAGCCACACAACTAAGTTCACACTGCCAGTATCATGGGGACATCACATGGCTGCTGAGCAAAACAAGCCACGACATCTGGGATCCTCAAGCTAGTTTCTGATACCCTAACATTCCCGTGAGTCCACTCCAAGTTTGACTTGGTCTGGTAAAGAGAGGAAAAAGAGAAATTGGATCTGGAGCCAAATGCATGTCCAAATAGGTGATTATCAGCCAAGCGTTCAGCAGGTAGGAAACAATGGAACTAGTGAACCTGGCCAGAGCAAATCAATGCATCCCTTTGCTGGTGTCACTTATCTGTGCACTTCCAAGGCTGATTGTGGGGAAAAACAAAAAAAAATTGAACTCTTGCAGAAGTTTCTGAAATCTCTGTAGTCTATTTTTTCTCTCAAACTACTTCATTTTAAGTAGGTTTTAGAAAGAAGGAATACTGGCAAGTTGGGGGAATATCTGTTCCCAGAGGGCTTTATTCTTCTTTCACCTATCACAACTGACATCATAGGTACTACTCGATTTATGCTAGGGCAGGTATTCAGGTTGATGGCCCTCATCGCAAACAAAAGAGATCCTTAAAATTTGGAGGAAGAAATCAGACTGCCAGATGCTTGTTTGATCCTAAAAAGCCAATGACAAAACCAGAGACGGAAGCAGGCTGAAAAGCAGAACAGTTCTGAACTCTCCCAAAATCTAAGCGTACTCAGGTTGGAGTTGTGGATCCCAGCCCTACACCTACTGTGTGCTGGGGTCCTCTCTAGGACAAATAAATGAGCCTTTCTGACCACTGAGTGCTAATTAAATATTTTTTCTAGTGTAACTGGTAGCATCATAAAGTACATCCAAGGGTAATTAGTTCACATGTCTGATTACAAGAGAGATGAGCTTGGCTCCACTGAGAATCAATGCTTTGAGAAGCTTTTTAACTATCTGCTGAACCTTTGGCCTGCTTCAATTTATACAAGATGTCATGAAGAGAAGAGCTGGACAGAAAAAAACCCAACCCCTGTGTGTGTGCAGAGTCCATGTAAAGAAGCACTGAGCAAAACCCCTGTGTAAGAAGAGCACTCCCATACCTGTGATCCTGTGCAGTGTACTTGAGAAGCTCTGCGAGCTGCAGGGGGTATTTGCAGATCTTCTGCACTGGTGTCAGTAGGAAACCATCTATGGCAATATCAATCATCTGCTGCAACAGACGACACGCTTCGAAGAAATGCTGGTACCTGCTATCTTTCATCAGCTTGGAAAGCTCCATGCACGCATCCAAATGATTATTACAGTACTCTGAATAGATCCAGAAGCCATCTTGCTGTGAAAGGCAGGAGGCAAGGGACCACACGTCAGTCAATCACCAACATTATGACTAAAGAAAGTGATACTCCTGTAGGAGGAGTAGGAAGGGCTGATCCTGAATTCTTTCCCTGCTCAGAGGTTGCTCTGGGGTGAGGGGAGGAGAGAGGGTCCTTTGTGTGACACACTGCCAAAGTCTCTGCAAGCAGCAGGTGTGTTAAATCAAACCCCTGTGCAGTTCTGAGGGTGTTCTCAATTTCGAATTGAGTGGAGTAATTTTCTCTGTGGAAGGTAAAGGTAGAACCAAGCCACAGCTCTGGCCTTCAGTGGTACAAGACAATCTTGCTTTTTGTAGAGCTCTTTACCTGAAGGATCACAAAGCATCTGACAAGTGCTTGGGATCTGGGTAGTTCTGAACACCTCTGTACCAACAGCGATCCCCATGAACCAACCACTGTGTGGAGTTCCTTGTGCTCAGAGGTTCAGAAAGCACCAAAGATTGGAAAAACAAACAAACAAACAAGAAGCCCACTTGCACACTCACATGCATGCCCAGCCACCCCTTGCTGGCTTTGAGCCTCCTTGGAAATGAAGACAAGAAGTGTCAGATATCGCTCTGAATAGCGGCAGTAGCTTTTACTACTGTTACTATAAATGAATTGACAGCACAGCCTTAGGACATGAAGTTTTAGCTACTGATTCTCACCAAGATTTCTCCCATCTTTTTTGCACAAGGGTGCAACATGCTGCTGCTGTGGAAGCGAACAGCAGAGATTGCAGGCTCTGATAAAAGTGAGCAATGTTACTGTTGTAATGCAATTTCTCAAAAATAAACTTGCCTTTTAATTGGAAGTGCAGTGATGCTTAAGAGATATCAGAAGTCTTTTTAGGGACGCCCTGCTGAAGTTTCATGAATTCCTATTGGAAATGTCCCTAATACGTGAACAGTCACTACTCCAGCCCTGATGTAAGTAACACAGTACAGCCCTGGGTCGCAGCACCTCACGTGTACGCTCTGATACAGCTTTTCAGTCTCTAAAAAAAAGCCTAAAGCTGCAGCACTGTAATTTCCTTGACATTTCCTGACATTATACAGCACTGGCCAATCTAACAGCTCCTGCAGCACGTGGCTTATATAACAGCATGGCAGGGCCAAATCTCCGGGACTGCAACATCAGCTAAAATATCCTCTGGTGCACACTTAGCGTGAGCTGCCACCTCGCTCCTGGCCCAGCCATCCTGCTGAGGAACACACTGAAGCTTCACAGGTTTTTTCAGCCCTTGTAAATGCATCTCAGTGCCATGAATGAGCATTCTGGCCATTTGTACTCCTCTACTTTTCAATGTAATGCACAACTAAGGCTTCCTGTTACTCCTCTGGTCTTTCTTACCTATTCCAACCACCTGGTCATCCCTGATCTGATTGGGATGGCTTGTGAAGGGTTTAAGTCATATTTTGAAGAGAAAAAAAGGATGAAGATGATGTGAGGGACACTGAGCCTACGTAATATGAGAATGGATATGGAAGCATGCTGATTCAAATGCAGTGGGGGGGTTGTCCAACTATGTGCTTCTCTTGGAGTGCTCCCTGCATCTGTACCTCACAAAGTGGATACAGTAGCTATGGAGTAGCCTGTGGTGTATCACTACTGTAACTAGAGCAGAAGAAAACTGATGGATGGCAGTTAGATGCTGTGTGGTTCCTGCCTTCTGACTTTTTCTATACCCCCGAAAAACAACCCCAGCTCCCCAAATAAAATTACCAAATGAACTTACGTGTTCAAGGAAACATGGTCCGATCTCACTGAGATGGGGATCCTCGTTGTTGTACTGTTTCTCCAAGTCCCGGACAAAACCCATCTGAAATCTATAGATATCTTCAATGTTCCCAAAGATGATCTTCAGCTGTTCATCACTGAACATATCCCTTCTCTTCCGGCACTGCTTCAAGTAACCCTGTAAGAAGTAGGACAGAGCAATCCACAAAATAATCCAACCACAGAGGCTGTTTCCAGATTTTTCTTGACTCTCTATCAATTCCTCTCTACATTTAAACACACAATAGGCAAAACACGCCTGGAAATGCCATAAGCCATTTTCTGACATACGACATCTCATTTGCAACATTTGGCACTTGCAGCCATGTTTCTCACCGCAACCCAGAGCAGACCTCAGCACTGTCCTTGCTCAGGACATGCCAGTGTGTACCAGGCTTCCCAGCCTGCGTCAGAGGATGCTGGCATGGTGTGGAAAGCACAGAGGAGAAGCAGTGCTGGCTTCTGCCTCCAAATCCTTCAGCATTTAGTATAAATCACTTTTCCAAACGGAAAGTTCCCCAGAGATCTCAGTCAGCACAGCCTAAAACTGCTCTGTCCCCACTGTGCTGCAGAGAATGGTAAATGGAGCTGATGATTCAAAGAGGTGTGTTACCCATCCCTTCAAAACCCACTGCCTTGCAATATCCACTATCACAGGCAGCTCCTACAAACACTGCCGTTCTCACATCCTCTTCAGCAGCACGTGGCAGTACACAGAAAGCCATGAGGGGCTCTCAGCCCCCTGTCTACTCTGATTTATCTTTCCGGCCACAGTAATCAGGACAAGGAAGTTGTCAGTGGTGCTGAGAAATACTCTGTCAACGTGTGGTAGCATGCCCTTGCTCTGGGAGGAGGCTATGGACAGTGTATCCACCCAGAGGAACTTCAGGACCAAGCAAAATGCTGAACGCAAATGGCCTTCCCTCACTTGGCAGGAAACACATCCCCACGTTGTTCCCCTCTCTGAGACAAAAGTAGGAGGGCTGCAGTGCTGTGAGCACCACACAGCACCGAGGCAATGCAGGAGCTGAGGTGGGCATTCCTGCTGGCCCCAGCCCGAGCAGCACGAGCCACTGCTCAATGCCATCTAGAGGAAAGCAGAGTCATTTTAATTTTTGTTTCTTTTATCCTTCAAGAGATTATCCCAAATATGTTATTCCATACAGCACAAAACAGGCAGAAATTCTGCCCTGTTTTCTCAGCTGTCACTTTTTATTGCTTTTCTTGCTTTGTGTCCTGGACTGTACAAACATCAGACTCTCCCACTGAGTCTACAACTGTGCAAGATAAATGGAGAAGGAGAAAGGAACAACAGGGATGCAGAGTTTAAGGAAATTCTCCAAAATAGCAGGGAATCTGCAGCAGAGCTGGCAACAGTTCAGATCTCCTGCATCCTGGTCCAGTGCCAGAACAAAATGCTCCTTATTACTTAGTCTTCATTTGTCCATGGTGCTCAGTGGTGCTGAGCCCAACTTTAGCTGGGCATCATACATTGCTCTGAAGACTTCCCAATCTAAAAAGATAGAGTGGATCAATATTCTATCAAAAAGTGTAACACACTGAGCTCTGCCTGCCTCCCTGCTTTGCTGAGCCTGCCTTGCCTATGAACTTGCCATCCTGGTTTCAGCTGAATCATGATGACTTCAAACACGCTTGCCTGAAGCATATGTGGTCCAGGGGATGCAGTGACACACAGAGGCTTGGGATGCCTGGGCTGAATTTCTGACCCTGAACTGATCCATGTGACATTGAGCAAATCACTTCACCCCCCTGCACTTTGCCTGTCTGCATGATTTAGACTAGAAACCTTGCTAGGCCAAATAGCAAATGCTACGCTGGCCTTTTTGGGATTGTGGCCTCTTGGTTGAAAAGAAAATAATACAGGGGTCATCGTGTGATGACTTTCCCTATGTTTATTATATAGGGAGAGAAAAAAAATGAAGGGGAAAAAAATGCCAACAGCTCCAGTTGGTTGGCTATATTTGGGAGCTCTAGATGCTTAGTCACACAGACGAAGTGCCAGCTGGTGACACGCAGCTGCTGGTCCATAATGCAAGCTACTGGAACGCTATAATAAAGTGTCCTTCAGCCTCACCATGTGGTTCTGGGAGGGAGAACTTCAAACTGCAGAATGATAAATGCAACTTTGGCCGAGCTGGCGAAGAACCAGCCTCTGCAATGTCCAGCTCAGCTAGAAGGATGCCGTTACCCTGAACATGCCTGCTTTTACAGCCAGGAAGTTTGGGTTATGGAATACCTTCCCCATTTACTAAATCTAGGTCTCTCTTCTTCTAGCAGCTCCTTGATGACTCATTTCCCTGGGTTTCCCTGTCTCATTTTTCAAGGCCAGGAGGAATGAGAGCACGCTGGTTCCCATGCTGCAGGACAGCTGAATGGCAAATGACATTTCAAACTATCAAAGAATAATGCAGAATATTTTCCGTGCTCCTTTTCGTGTTTACCTGCTTATCTCAGAACAGCTACAAAAAACAACAATAATGCATGCACCTGCCCACGAAGCCAGAGTCTTCCTTTCGGCCCTGGCTGCAGTGCTAGCAGTGCTGAACAGCTGCTGCAAGGCATTTGTGTCAGCACCTTTGCCCTGCTGCACGCTGTGGGCTGCCTGCAAGCCAGGCTCCCCTCATGCACACGCTGCTCTGTGAAATTAGTCCACAGATTATTTATACGAACATCTTTCAGCCCTGGGGTTGCTATTGGCTGCAGCTTCTGTCTTGAAAATCCCCTCTCCTCTTGCTGCTGGTTCATCTCTTTGCCCAAGTCATGCGCTCCAGAGAAGCTGAAGCAGCACATTTCTGCACAGGCACCTATAAAACCATGGGGAGAGTAGCTGCATGCATGCAGCTCCCAACCTTATCCTCTACCCAGCCTGTGCATGTGATGTTTGGTTTCCAGCAAAGGGAAGGCTGAAGACCTTCAGATATAACATGCAGCATGCACCACGAAGGATGCTGCGTATTTTTTCCAGTAAATTTACTTTTGTTACATAAAACAGTGTCATCTTCCTTCTGCTCATTCCATCAGGTTTGCTCAGAAAAGGGATAGCTGACTGATGAGCAGATGTTGAAGTGTGTTTTGCTCAATGAATACCTAAAAATAGCTGTCAAACTGTCTCCCTTTAAAGTACATTTCCATGTAGTCCCTGAGGTATGGGCCAAAGTTAGAAAGTATTTGCAGGAGGTTAAGTGCTAAGTTTTCTTCACCCCAAAGTGGGTTTAGAGACAGTCAAGAGAGGTGGACAATCCATCTGTCCTTCCTATCCTGCTGAGGGCGAGGGAAGCACTTGCAGCAAGAATGAGGAGGAGATGACAGCTGCTGTGGGCTGTGAGTTAAAAGGCAGCTATGGTAATATTCTGCTTTTCCTCCAGCTCTGAGCCAGTCTAGGGGAGACAATGTCCTGCAGACTGCCCTCACTTTGGACAAGCACCATCTGAACTATCAGAATACTACTCACTAGTGCAGTGCTCACACATCCAGGTGAGCATCGCGCCCATACATGCAAACCCAAGAGTAACCCAAGAAGAAAGCAGAGGCTGTTTGAATGAAAAAGGCACACTAGAGCTGTGCCTGCTCCCAGGCGGTCAGGACTCTGAAGCAGTAGGCAACAGAAGTACTGCACATCAGGCACAGACCGTGCACCACTCTGGCTGCACTCCTTCCCATTGGCACCACGGATTGCCCAGGAACCACCGACAATGTACAACAAAATCCATCAGGAACACAAGCTGGTTCCTCGGAAGCACACTGAAGGAGCCAGATACAAAGGAGAAAAACAAGGTGTGCACAAGTGAGCAGCAAAACGCAGCTGCAAGTCACATACTGGGGAATACATGTATGTATTATGTCCTAATTAATCTATACAACTTTCTACAGAACCACCCTCCACTCTGCTAGCCACAGATGAGAAACTGGCCAGCCATACAGAAGTCCCCCATACGTGGTCCTCTAGAGGTGCACTACAGCACAACCAGGAGGGTTTTAAGCTGCTCATGTCCGAGGCAGCACAGAAAAGCAGTCGTTCTACTTCTCTGAGAATGAGTCAGCCTAATGCCACCTGGACCATGCAAAAGCTTCTCCCATCAGCTCTGCACAACAGACTCGACTCCACGTGCTGAGATGCACTGCCATTCAGCACTCAGCGCTGTCCTGGCACCAAAGCAAATCTTAGATGGGATCCAGCTAGCATTATTAAAAAATGAATTCAGAGTGATATGATTTGGGAGAGATGAAAAATGCAGCAGTGGAAGTTGGCTGGTGTTTTCCCCCCTCCTGTCCCTTGGTGCTCACTGCTCCCCTCGAGCTGCCTGCTATCCCAATACCTCGGCTGCTCTGTTGGTGTCACCCCCAGTAGGGATGTGCCCCGTGCCTTCCCAGGCTCAGAGCCCCAGTGCAGCAGCTAGCTGCTGCTACCCATTATAAAAGCTTAGTTTTCAGTAGCTGATTATTTTTCTAAGCTTTAACTGCCAAGCCTCAAATTCCTATTGCTGGATATTTCCCTAAGGCTGGATTCATTTTTTCTTCTTTTCCCCTTGGTGATATTAAAGAATAACAATCCATCTGCACCAGACAATGCAGCCCAGAGAAAGCTCAGCATTTTGTCCCTCATAAAAATCTTCAAAAATTGTTTCACCATACAACAACCAGACCTTCACACTGAGCAAGGGCACAGCAGCAGCAATTCTCAGTGCTTTGTGGTTTGCTGAGAGGGGGATTCCCCTCCAAGCCAGCTGCTTTCTGAAGCACAGGTAATTTTCATTCTGGTGCTGGCTAGCTTGTGAGCTCCTGATTTAGCAGGGTTGGTGCCATGGGTATTATGAATAATAACATGGTCTATAATAACAGAGTAGCAGGTTCTGGAACACATCCTACAGCAGAAAAGAGCAATTGGAGGGTTGCTAATCACCTCACAGGGGCTACAATCCTCTGACAGCAACCTCATATCTTAAGGTGTCTCAATGGCCTTAGGACTTATTGTAATTCAGCAATGGGAGTATGACTACATGGCTGAGCTCAATCAGGCTCAACCTTTGCCACCCAGCCAGCACTACTCTGCATTCCACCAGTATGTCATATTGCTCCCATTTGTCCTGGCACCTTCAAATAGAAGAGCAGAGGGGAAAGGGGAGCTTGCCACTGCCACCAGCACTTCTGCATCTCATCAGCAGGTGTCTGGTATCTCCTGGAAAAACACCTGGTATTCCCTGGTAAAACATCACCTCTGTACAAACCCATTTGGAGGAGCTCACAGCATCTCCAACCCACTCCAAACAGGAACACTCGTGTCATGCTGTGCCAAAATGCCTGCCATGGCTGTGCTGGTTCCAAGCCTTCTCCAGGCAAACTGATGGCTCTGATTGCATTGAGCAAAGGACAGCCCATCACTCTGCAGACGAGAATGCCCACTTCAGTCCTCATTTTCTAAGCGAGACAGCTGAGTCACTTCCTGGTGCTCTACCTGGCAGTCAGCTTTATCCCTCAACACCATTTTGTATCACACATCTTTTTCACACATTGTGCATGTTGTTACGTGCTGCAAATCAGTGTTACTCCACAGCTGTCACAAAAACTGCATCTATCTGCTCCTCCTGAAAATCTTATTTGGCAAAAGCATGGTGACATGGCCAGGAAACACACGTTCAGATTTATTCAGTTTTTCAATAGAAAAGTGCAAATGTAGGAAAAGAAGCATGATGCAAAAAAGTTCCTGCAGCTTTTCCCTTCTTTAATGCAAAGCCTTCTGACTGAAATAGCACACTGAAATTAAGCTCATTTGTTTCCAAATTGAAATCCCAAGACTCTTCCATATTCGAAAAGCATCACAGTTGCTTTTTTGGTTGGCCGCTTTGCCTTTGCCTTTGTCAAAAGAAAAGTGGCAAGTATGAAGGGAGGAGGAAGACATCTAAGTAGAATTTGCAAAGGGCTTCATCACACTGACTCTGGAAAAATTGGACACGGGCTCATGGAATCTTAAACCTTGAGAGGGATGAGCAGAAAGCCCCAGACTGTGATTTTTGTGCAAACACAGTTCTCCCTCTCTCTAAGACAGTTCTCAGGCTGTCCTGCAGCACACTGAGGCACGCCTGTGCATTCTCCTTCCCAAACATCCAGCACCACATATATTACACTTCGCATGCAGGTCACTAAGGAGTTGTGGGAGTTAACTGTGCATAATCAAGAACCACGCTGAGGATGTGAAGGTGCCGTCACCAATGTTCACTTGCTTGCAGTTTCCCTTACGCTATGTAAATGTCACGTACTTCATGTCCCATACTGAAAACGTTTTGCTCTCAATACCACTGTAAGAGAAGCCATTCTGAGCAAGGGGAAGTTGTGAACCCAATGTGAAAAACAGATGAAATGGTTAACTGATAGATTTAATTACAAACTAATTTCCTTGGTCAACAGTTCAAAAGTATATGGCAATGGGCTTTAATAAAGAGAATGCTTGAACCTCTTCATTTTTTAGTCAGAAAGGTACAGAAAGAACAGAAAACTGTTGTTTTGGTTAATACAAACCAAAGCTAATTAGCAGATCCAGCAGAAAACACTCAGAAGTATCAATACTTATTGACAGATGCTGCTCCTCTATTACACACACTACTCATAAGCACACTGCAACATCTTCCTGCATTTCTCAAGGCCAAACTCGGCCCTCAGCTCTCCACAGCCCACCACGTGTGCTGCTGCATCCCCCATGGCACAGCCCCACGTACCTCGCAAATGTCCTTGAGGTGCTTGATGTAGTGACGCTCCGTGCTCATGATCTCATTGATGACATTGGCTCTCATCTGATCTCGGTTCTGGACGGTTCTGCCAAGACAGAGGCAGTCGGCGCTTGGATCCAAGTGGCCATTCTGCACTTCGCTGGTTCCCTCCTCCACTCCATCTTCTTGGTTCACCCATAGCTGCGAGAAGAGAGGAGAACGGCAAGGTGATTTGCAAGCGCATCAGGAGACCAGTGAATGAAGCCTGGGCTGTGGTCTGCACTGCACTGGGTGATACTGGAGCGAGTTGCTCTTTACAGCAATGGTGATGCCAGCACTGCATCCACGGCAGCCCAGAGAGCCCACTTTCACAACAGCATAACCGCACCCCCACGTGGTTCCCTGCACTCCACTTGGTTCCTCGTGTAAACAAAGGGGCTGTGGGTTTTGATAGTTTTGATTCCAAGAACAGAATCATATATGAAGGCAACCAGACTGCCGGATGCTGCCAAGCGCTCTGAACTACAGCGTGTTCATTTGTACAACAGAGCAACCTGCAGAATTTAGCAGCATAAAGCACTGCTTTCCCCAGCCCTCATCAGCTGGGGGCTGCTGTGACAGGAGGAAACCTCTGTCAGGAGGGAGGAAACCCTCACAGATGTCCGCTGTCAAAGGTCGAGATACCTTCAGGAATCTGAGCAGATCTGACCATCCGCTCAAGCTAATCGGGGTTACAGCTCTCAGGTTTCCTCAGCCTTCCCAGGCCAGCATTTGTGCATGAGCATTGATTTTCATTTCACAGCAGCTTTCCCCCATCATTTCACATGAGCCATTCTCATTCAGGCAAAAGCGCTTTCTCAGCATCCTGAGGTTACAATCCCTAAACTGTGCTGGGATGAGACGGGGCCATTCCTTGACAGAACAAATTTCCTGCCATGTGGCACTGGACATTTCAGACTGCAAGGAATTGCTGATAGCAATGATAAAGGATCTCTGCACTTTTAGCATACTCCATTTCCATCATCAAATAAAAGCATGCATTGAACTTGCACACGTAAAGCTACGGCTGACTCCACACCTGTCTTTGAGCACAACATATGGACCAAGTACCTCCTTTTGTTACCTGTTACCCAAAGCAAAATCTGCTTTAAAAAAACCCTTAACAATTCAAATTGGACTCGATGTGGTTCGTAAATGAACTTTACATAAAGGTTAAAACACAGAAGCAGTGCTGTCTTACAAATATAATCTCAGATGTTACATAAATTAAGCAACTTCTCAGCATTTTAAGCTGAACATACTGGAGACCTTGAAATGAAAGAATACCATGAAACTGTCCACACAGAGACATAAGGGAAACAAGCTGTGTAGCTAGCCTCATCTTTTATTCTTCTTTTTTCTGTTAGTAGTTTTCAGTAATTTCCCATTATTCAGCTTAACTTCTATTTTAAATGTCTTGATTGTAAGAGGCCGAGTTCCTGCAGATTAGCACACTGAAAACACCAAAAGCTTCCCACACTCCTTCCCTGTTTTCCTATCCAATTATTATGTTTTGCTAAACCACATCTCTTATTACAGCTCCCACATTTTGCCTTCCTACGATGAGTCGCACAGGCCAAGAAACCCAAGTGTTGGAAGAAAAAAATCTCTTCTCTGGCAGAATGTTCACGATGCTGCAAACTTGGGTCTAAAAAAAAAAAAAGAGCACCATAAAAAGCCTGACTTTTCACCCTGTTCACACCTGTGCCATGGCTGGGAGCTCTTGGGGACTTTACACAAAGGTGCATGGAGCTGTGATGCCATGTAAGTGATGGGATGCTCTCTCTGCAGGATCCATTGGGCACAACACCCCTGCTGAGCATCTGGAAGCACTTTCTGGGAGGGAAAGCCAGTTGACACAACCTTCCTGCCAGTCACACCTCAGCACTGCTCCCCGCTGCTGTTCCCAAAGCACGAAGGCTTTGTACCTTTCCCCAGGACAGCACAGCCAAGAGTCACTTTGATGCCCTGTGTGACAGAGCAGAAGTGAAGTGCGGTGAGTGTGGCTGTCAGCTCTCGTTTCCTCGCCCCGAGGCCCAGGGGAGGGCCGTGTCAGGACACCGGGTGCAGCAGCACCCAGCGACACGGCCATGGCTGCAGCAGGGCAGATCTGAGAGCAAGCAGCTCCTCTGCTGCAGGAAGGCTCAGCAGCGAGTGCACTGCTGGGGGCAATGCCTGCCTTCCCCAGGACCTTCCCAAGCGATGGGGCTCTCCGCCATGGCACCTTCTACAAAGACGGACTGGAACATGCTTCTGAGTCACCACAGCCAACGTCGACTTCCAAAGCTACCAAAAGCAACTGATTTATACTGTACACCGATCTTGGGAGGTGTGAGTTTGATGTAAAGGACAATCATCAGCAGGTACCCTCAGGGCAGATTTATTGGTATTCTAGACCATATGTATATTAAAGTGTATCCAAGGGATGGAACCACGAGCACAGGCTGTCAGAGCTGGAGTTGTGCAGCCTGGACAAGGGAAGGCTCCGGGTAACCTGAGCGTGGCCTGTCAGAATGTAAAGTGGAACTACAAGAAAGGAGGGGCCATACTCTTTAGCAAGGTCTCTTGTGACAGGATAAGGAGAAGTGGTTTCAGACTAAAAGAGGGGAGATTTAGATTGGACATAGCAAAGAAGTTTTTTACAATGAGGGTGGTGAGGCACAGGCACAGGTTGCCCAGAGGGGTGATGGTGCCCCATCCCTGGTGACACTCAAGGTCAGACTGCATGGGGCTCTGAACTGTAGGTGTCCCTGCTCATTGCAGGGGGTTGCAATGATGGCTGTTAAGGCTCCCTTCCAACTCAAATGATTCTATGACTCTATGATTCTAAGAAAATCAAGAACTAACGTAGAAATTAAACCCTCGACTACTTTCAGCTGAAGATGAAAAGGTATCTGCAGCTCTCCCAAGCCCAACCAGAACAGCTTGTTGCCAAGCCTCAAGACATTCCTGCTTGTTTGGCAACCAAGCGCAGTTTTACAGCTCTACTTCCTGGAGCCAGGCAACCATGAAAAAAACTTCATTTTCATTAAAAAAAAATTGTCATAATAGTAAGCAGAAAAAAGCTTGAAAGCCTGAATCCTAAAGGCTTTGATTCTCCAATGCAAACAGCAAGCTTGTAAATGTTTATGATTTCTGAAAGCCTCAGAATTTGGCACACCTCTTGTGTACTGTAGCAGCATTCCCAGGTTCCACATCACGAAACTTAGGAGTCCCACTTTCTTCCTTAATGAATTTTTTTTCCCTTTCCAGCTAATTCATGTTTCCAAATGGAAAAAAATTACAGTTGTAATCTAGCGGACTCCTGCTTTAGATTAAAACAAATGCAACAACTTTATTGGTAAGAGAGAAAGCCTTCCCCCTGTGCTCTCAAACATTCCAGCTTTGTATCTCTCACATCTCTGCATTCAAACACTTTCCACTTTTTCAGGGTAAAATTTTAGTTTTCATCTAAAGTTCAGAGCATCACTCAGAGATGAAGAGAAACATTCCCAGCTCTGCTGCTGAACTTGGGCCAACCCCTTCAACTGGTCTAGGCTTCTCCCGTCTATACTAGGGGATAAGTTCCTATACCAATGATACATTTCATGAGTATTTTTGAGGTTTGCAGGCTTTATGTTGAAGGAGGAACATAGAAAAGCTTTGAGTTATGGCCTTAAATCCATCACTGCAGGCTTGCCATGCTCTTTGTTCTCATCCACAAGCAACAAGTGGCTAGCTGGGTGCTTGGTCTGACACAGCATTGCTTCAGCTCTGGGGCTTGTACAGCTCTCAAATCCTCTAGTGCTTGTGCTAAGCAATAGCTGGGCTATGCTTGGGTAAGGGGAAGTCACACTCTGAGTGTTGTGTTGACCATCTCCAGAGGGCAGATCCTCTCTGCTTCTCTGTTCTCGCTTGAACCTTGATGCTGCTGCACTGCAGGCAGGTACGAGAGGCAAACTGGGAGTGACACTATTCCCTCCCAGCACCTTACTGAATGTCATCTTTAGCTGATCTAGACAGGGCTGCTAAGGTTCCTGTTTTAGTGCAGTTCCATAGTCACCTGTGGGCAAGGGAGCCCTGTTCAGTGTGTTCTAGCCACGTGCAACTCTCCCAACAACGCTTTCCTGCCCAAAAAGCTCAGCACCCCACTGTTGCAGTAATGGCTGAGATACCATTAGTGAAAGAACGTCCCACCCCTTCCTTAGATATTTTCCAGTGTGCACTGATCAGCAGTGCACAGATTTACCTCCCTCCCTTAAAATTATGTCTGTTTTACAAAAGAAACTTCAGACCTCTGTTTTTCCTCCCTCACCTCACCTGCCCAGTCCTCCCACTCCAGCTGGGTGGCTGCCACCCCTGCTGAGCTCCTGGAGGGCTTTCCACAGGAGGAGATGGGAATTCAACCTGGCACCTCTCACTTGGATTTCAAGAAGTCTCTCTGGGCTCCTGCCCTGTCCTCAGCAATTAGGGGCTGTGGCTTGGAGCACAAGTATTTCCAGCTTTAATCACTGCACCCAACACTATCTATCTTTTAGGAGAAAAAAAAGCAAAAAGTAACTGCTGTTCTTCAAATCATCAACAACCCTACAATAACAAATTAGCCTTCAGTGCCTTTTTAACACCTCTGCAATGCAAAAAAGCACAGGCTCTGAAATAATACAGTGAACAGCAGCCTCCCTCGTGCCACTGAAAAGGTCCAACATAGCAAAAGAAAAAGAAAGCAAGGAATGCTGCCATTAGAACCATTTCAAACTTCTAAATTAGGAATTAATTAAAAGGAACCAACAAAAAGTGCATGAAAAAAAGCAAATTGCGTAACACTAATTCTAAGTGATATTTCACTTGGAAAGGCCACTCCACACATGTAGAAGAACAGGCTTATCACAAGGCTCACAGTCGTCCCATTTGGAAACTCAACCCTGATTAGGAAGCCATGACCAGCAGTAATTGGCAGAAGCGGATAAAATAGTCAAGAAAAGTCCTTTTGCCTAAGGATGCAGGAGCCAGGGAGAGTTAATAACTTCATTGCACTAATTAATATTATATGTGATTTATAAAAAACCTGTAGAAATGTGATTTATCAATTTGCAGCTGTACCTAAATGGTGCATAAAATCACCAAACAGCACCATTCCAACATAATATGACCTGTAATTATCATATATTTAGACAGCTGAAAGC